CAATAAGAAAGCTGTCCCAAATGAAGCCTAAATGAGAGTTCTAAGGAGTAAATTATTTTGGAAGAATAAATTATTAAATTAAACAAAAAATATTTTCAATGGAGTTTTAAGACTAAAAGATAACAAATGATTGAAGAAGAAACACTAGGGTAACAATACATAAAAATAAATGACATGTTTAAGGTTAAGCTAATAAAATAAATGAAGAGAGGAGAAATAATTTGAATTTTGTGTGTATTTCATTGGGACACTGGCCTCTCAATTTTTATAACAATATTTCCAAGCTAGCTTTAGATCCTCAAGTTCTAGAGTAGATATTTTTTATGCATAACTTTGAGATAATATTATAGAATATAGATCTTGGTTATTCCTTTGATTAGAATTAGTGACATAAATAAGGTGAGATTATTGGTTGTTATCTTTACTTGTTCAAATTTTCGTTTATTCAAAATCGACTTATGCTCGAAATTATTCATAAACATTATGTTCATGTTTGGCTAATTCGAATTCAAGTCGAATATAGTAGAATCATTATGCTTATATACAAACCAAATAATAAATTTAAAAATATAAAATCATATATATATATATATATATATATTCAATTTTTGGCTAATAAAAAGCTGAAGACAATCGAACATCATTTTGTTTGTGTTTAACTTGTTAAAAAAATAAGCACAAAATAACAATTTAATATTTGCTTGCTTAACAAACAAATTAAACAAGAGCTTCTTAGACAGTTGAACCTGAGTTATTAGCGATGAGTGAGGTTTTTTTCAGCCCTAATTAGGATGTCAACCAAATGGTCACGTGTTTGAGCATAGTGATGTATAGTCCATTTTTTATTTTTCTTTGATGAAGTGTAAATCAATTTTTTGTTTTAAGTACAGTCATGTTAGATTGGATTGTGCAATGTTGATGGCTGGTATATTTTCATAGTATAACTTCATAGTATTTTCTCATTTTATTATTAAGGCTTCTAGGATAATTTTCATCCATAATAATTCACAGATCCCTTGGGCCATCGCCCGCATTTCAGCTTCAACACTAGATTTGGCAGTCACTAATTGCTTCATATTTCTCCAAGTGATTAGATTCTTAGGGAAGTGTAATAATAAATAGTAGACCTTCTGTCTGTAAAGGATCCTACCCAATCAACATCAATATATGCTGCATAAAGATTGGTTTCTCTAAGATTATGCATAAATTAACTTAAAATACTTATAGCATAAGCTATGTATGAAAATATCCAAGTCTTTCCCGATCTTAACTTCAAATTCTTTGGATGGCTAATCTTTCACTCTTCTTAATACTTTGAGATCATTTCCCCTATAATCATGCCATCTACATACACTATGAGAATTGTAATTTTGCCTTTGTAGAATTTTTTTATGAATAAGTGTAATCTACAAGACTGTGTTTGAATTCCATCCTTTCTGATCGCTTTGGTTAACCTCCCAAATTCAACTCTTGGGGATTTTTTGAGACCGTATCAGAGCCCTGCATTGGGTGCCCATACCCACACCCGCCCACGTACCCACCCATACCCAATGGGCATGGGTGGGTATGGGTATGTACATGGCCTTGTGGGTGGGTATGGGTGAGTACTCAACATCTGGGGACAAATTGATTTACATTACTACTCATCATATGCATGCATTATATTACAGTAATCCTTACTACGTAGTGCGCAACACTGAACCGTGCTGCGACTACGATAAATTTTGATATGTAATTTGAAAGTTTATAGTCAAAGAAAAGGGCAACAAACCTCAATGCCATTAATCCGCGAAAGATTTTATTCAAGAAGCATGGAAAGTGGGTGGGTGTGGGTGGGTATAACATACCAAAAGTCACCATAGGTGGGTGTGGGTGGGCAAAGCCCACCAGCGCAGAGCGTGGGTACCCAATGGGTACCCAACCAGGACCTCATGTAGGGCTTTGGACCGTATAATGTTTTCTTCAACCTGTATGCAAGCTTAGTACTAAAAACTTAATTAAAACCCAGTGAAGGTTCAATAAAGGTTTATTCTTCTAGTTTTCCATGTAAGAATGTATTTGTTTACATCCAACTATTGTAAGGACCAATTGAGATTAGCTGCCAAGGCTTGACATATCCTAATAGTATTTAGCTTTTTGGCTGGCCCAAAAGTTTCACCATAATCCACTCCATAAGTCCTAAGTGTGGCTTTTTTTGGTTTGAGTCTAAATTTATACCTTTCAAATGTCATATTATAGTGTATTTGACGATGTATGGTACTTAAATTTAATTAATTTATTTCTTTTGTGGAAATTATAATACCTCTCATATTATACCTCTTTTAGGGCATTTATATTTTCAATCATGGGCTTCTTCCATTCTTTATTCTTAATTGCTTCTTGGACAGTTCTTAAATTTTTATAGTTTAGGGGTTGTTTATTTGGATGTATTAGGAATGTTAGGTAAAACAAATGCAAGGGCTTTGGGATTACAGGTGTTTGGTTAAAAAAAACAAATATAAGGTAATTTTATGAAGAATTTAAAATCCGCCATAGGCTATTTTCGATGTATTTTGAATTCACCCAAATCAAGTGAATTCAAATAATGCCACATGAAACAAAGCAAATCACGACCTCGCCTACCACTATGAACCCACCTGCCAATGCAACCACACCCACTATTATGATCCTTCCCACCAACATGACCACACCATCTCCTAATCCCTCACAAATGCGATCCTAAAAATATGTTGTGATCCGGCTAGCTAACCCCTTAATGCATACAATATCTATCCCTTGCAATCCTACTATATTGACCACATCACTATAGCTACTAATCTTATCTGTTAATTCTTCATCGTGCCCTGAAAAAAAGTTCTAAATAAAATTTTATATTATACAAAATATATTAAAAATTAAAGAAATATTTAGCTTCATTTTACTTATAACCAAACACAAAAAATGATATATTGAATTTATGTTACAACTAAATAAACAACCCTAAGTATTCTAAATGCATTGCATTAACTTTACATAATAATGGAATGCAGATGTATTCTAAATACTAGCAACCAAATAGCCCCTCAAAAAAAAAGTTTTTGGAAGGAGGAAATATTGAAAGTTAAATAAAATTGGTTGTTGGATGGTGGTGTTTAGTTTTATTTCTTAATGCAATAAGAAGACCTATACTATGATTGGTTTGAATTTCAGGGGTAGAAATTATATCTTCAACACTTGGTGATTGATATTGTATAGATTCAAATGGTTAGGCATGCTTTTATTTAGTTTTGGGTATTTCTTTCTTTCCTCTTGAATATAAATGTAGAAATGGTTTAGGCCCATCAAGGACTTTCTTGTAGTTGTGGTCTGAGGAGGCTATCATGGACTTAAATAGACTTTTTAGGTTGGGTTATTATTGGATCAAATGTGAGATAATAAAAGTTATCTTCACTGAGACTTCCCCTAAAGACAATCATCGTCATATAACCTTTGAATTTTAGTAAAGGAAACATCTCGGGAGATGATTTTTTGATATTGGAATGTTAACATATCATTTTTAACATAAGTAGAGGAATATCCAATGACGATATATCTCATGGCTCTTGGATCTAGCTTAGTGTGTGATGGTATAGATGGACATACGCAACACTACTAGAGGTTTTTAATGGAAGTGGAGTGTTGTACTTTTGGAAAAAAATCGGTGAGGTATTTGATAGGTATTTTATAAAATTCTAATAAGGAGGCAATTTATTAGAAATGTAGCAATTAAAATGGTTTCCTCCAATTAAATTTTAGTACATTCTCTTCAAATAATAGAGCTCTAGTGGTTTTAAGGAAATAGCAATTTTTTTTCCTTTCTACTAATTTTATTGTAGGGAGTCAATACAAGATGATTCATAAATGATGCCATTTCGTCAAAGAAACGAAGAAAATTATTGATTAAAATATTCTTCCCCATGAAACCTAATATATTTAATATTACTTTCAAATTGGGTAATGATCATTGTATATGAAACATGAGAAGATTGTACTCACATTGGATTTATTTTTCAGGAGAAAAAAGCCCAGTTGTGCGTGAGCAAGTCCATGAATAGAACCAAACAATCTAGCCCCATTAATACTAATGATACGAGATGGCCCCCAAACATCAGTATGAATTAGGTAAAAAGGAATTGAAGTTTTTTAGTAGCATGTAGGGTAGGGAACTGTAGTATTTGTGCATTTGACACACCTCACAATGGAATTCCTCAACTTTATTTTATTGAATAATGTTCCAAACATAGATTTTGGTACACAAAAAAAAAAGGATGACCGGATGAATATGGAGTCAATTTGAGCACTTCTTGTATCCAAATTTTAAGATAAACAAGATTGGGGTAATTGATTATTAATACTTATGTTCAAATAATAGTCTGCTAGTTCTTTACCATGCCCAATCATTTTCCTCAAGTAAAAGGAGTAGACAAGGTAAAATGAATAGAATTTCTTCAAAAATGATTTAGGAATAATATTTTTTTTTTTTTTTTATCGACGGAATTTTCGGGATATCTTAAATGATTTAGGAATAATAGGTTTAAAACCTCAAACAACACTCAACAGAAATAAATGATAAATAAATAATTCACTAAGCCAATCCCAAGTAGTGAGATAAAGATAATGATAATGAAGCTTAAGGCTATCATAAACTACAAGCTCATTCTCAACATGACAAAACACGGTCTGCTACTTGGAACCCCAGCCGCTGCTGCTTTGTCCAGCGCCATCTCTCCAACCATTGTCCCATTCTGCCCCACAATCATCTAATAAACCCTAACATAATTTTCAGTTAAGGTAAGTCAACACCCGCAACATGTTTCATAAAAAAAAAATTAAATTAAATAGCCAAAAATCACTTAAAAATCGGCCTTCCCGATTCAATAAGGGTCATTTCGCCGAAGTAAACAAAACAACAATAAGCATAAAAAAGAAAGACTTAAAATTTAAGACTTTCGCTATCAATCCTACGTTTCTAAGTTGTTTACCACAAATCTTGATTGGCGCTTCGAGCTCCAGTAGATTCGGTTGGCTAAGGAAGACCTCCTTCGCGGCGAGGCACAGCTGCCGTATCTCCAGCTCGGTCATGTGAACCTGTCTCACCGTCCTTCCGTTCTTCGCGTCAAGAAGCCGAGCGATGAGAGCATCCACCGCCGCCTCGTCCATCCTCCTATGCGCAACTCAGATAAACCGAAACCCTAGCTTTCTCAATCGATCAAAACAAATGAATGAAGAAGACAGACAGTTCTCTCCAGAGGCGCCGCCTTCGCCTCGCACTTTTCTATCCGTAAATAGAGAAGGACCTAAATTATTTCCTGCCCTAGAGCAGAGAAGGAAAAACGGAGAATCGAGCGCCTGATGTCTTCAATAGTTTCTATAGATCGCAATCGCACACATGCGGTATCAACTCCGTCCGCACGTGAGAATTCTGTTTGCAGCCGAAGGGGTGTTAGATTGGAGTTTGGATATTTGACCGTTGGACCTGAACTGATAAGCCTGTAGAGCAAGATTAGCCGAGTTGATCAAATAGGCTCGCTAGGTCTAGCGAGGAATATTCGTTATGATGGTACACGTGTACACCGTAGTGCAGCAGAATCTTTAAGGATAATTTTGAATAAATATATATATTAGAGAATTTACACATATATTATAATTTTTTATGAATTAACATTTTAATATTTATTTATATGCATTTGTGTTTAAACCCTATCAAAATATATATGACAACAAGGGCGGGCCCTAGCCACAACAATGGCGGGACCCTAGCCCCGTAGCCCACTAGAAAATTATATAGTATAATATTTAATAATAAAATTACTTTCCTAAAGCTAACATAAGTTAGTACAAAACTTATCTTCAACTCCTAAAGTTTGAGAATTAATTGGGCCCTCATTTTAAGAATTATCTTATGTGTCAGCCTCTTTATTTGCACTCTACCAATGATGGCATCATCGACCATGAACCCTCCCTTTCCAATAATGACGCCTCTAGATATGACTACACACATGCCAATGAAGACATCTCCTGATACAATTTTTCCCTTGAACTTTTAATTGAGCCATGAGTTATCTCTATTTATCTATCACTCCCTCCTTTCGTCTCTCTCTCATATGAAAACCCTAGTTTGTTGTCACAAATAATTCTTGTTAATGTAGTAACCATTATTAGATCTGTTGTAACCAATTTTGGACTCCCTGCCGCATGACTCTATTTATTTATGAGATTTCTTACCTCCTTGTTTATTTATTTATGAGATTTTTTTCGCTAAACCATTTATTATTCAAAAGTGGTCACCTCTTTTTCGACCTAAAAGAGAAGAGTTTATGTATATTCCTTTATGGATTAAATTTCTTAATTTGCCTTTAGTATGCTGGACGCCATAAGGTATCTCAAAGATTGCTAGTCTTATTGGTATACCGATTGCTATTGATTCTTTAGCAGCTGAGCAGACTCATCTTACTTTTGCTAGGGTTTGTGTTTTAGTTTCTAAAAATTCTTGTCTTCCTGAAGAAGTTAATATTTCTATTATGAGAAATATTTTTTGGATTAAAGTTGAGTATGATTGGAAACCCATTTCTTGTCAAGGATGTGGATCTATTGTTCATCCTTACTCGTTATGTCCTTCTAAGCCGTAGGAGGATAAGGAGAAGCAAAATTTTATTTTGGAACCTAATAGGGGAAGAAGCAAGAATAGGAATTTTGGAAAATATGATTTTGTAAGACCTTCCTCTTCCAAGAATCTTCAAAATTTTATGGTTAAAAAGTAGGTTAAACTTACTACCGATCCTCATTTATCTGATACTCTTTTAGCTTCTTCTATTAATACTAGTTCTGATACTACTCTAATTTCTACAGTTGATAATAATCCCCTTTGAGAATTGGTTCAAGATGTTGGAAAGCCAAATGCGGTGGTTAATACTAATATTGAGGTTAAAACCTCTTTAACAGAGTTTTTATCTAATTTAAATTTGACTGCGGAAGAGATTATTATTAATCTCAATTCAAACAATATTTCTGGAACTTCTAATGTTCTTTCTTTATCTAAATCTTCTGTGGATATTTCTGATACTCATAATAAGTTTTATGTACTAGATTCTCTTATTGGAGATTTAAATTATTTTAAGAAAGATGCTAATGCTCATAATTAGGAGGTTTCCTCTTCGGTTTCTATCTCTACTTCTATAGTGACTAATATTGATCAATCTAGTTTTAAATTACCAATTGTCTACAAGATCTAAAGTAGCTAGGAAGGCTTCTACTTCAAACCTAAAATATGAATGTCTTTTCCAAATATTATATCTTGGAATGTGAGAGGCTTTAACTGTTTGGATAAAGTTCATGCTTATACGGACCTTGTTCTTAAGTTTAAGTCCGGATTTTGTTGTATTTTGGAAGCTAAAGTGAATGATGATCTTGTTGGTAATCCTTGGTTTGATGTTAATCACAGAATTTTTCAGCAAGAGGGTTGTTGTAATAATTTTTATATTTCTTCGGTTGGTAGAATTTGGTTAAAATAGAATACTTCTTGTATTATTTTAACTCTATATTTATTATGAGTCAGTTTATTCATGGGGTTATCAAATTTGGTTCTAATTCTTTCTACATTACGTTTGATTATGCTTCCAATTTAGCTGTAGATAGATTAAATATTTGGAATGATTTTTATAATATTGCTACTAATATTTCAACTCCTTGGATTGTGTTGGGAGATTTTAATTGATGTCATTTTACTAAAGATAAGTCAGGTGGGAATGCTCTTTCGTATAGCACTATGGGAGTTTTTAATAATTGTATTTTTAATTATGGTCTTATTGAGCTTTCTTCTATTAGTCTTTTTTATAACTGGTTTAATCAATAAGGCAATAGCCCTATTCATATTAAATTAGATAGGGTTCTTGTTAATAACTATTGGTTTAATTCTTATCATGTTTCTTATTATATTGTTGATAATCCTTATTGTTCGGATCATTCTCCTCTTATTGTTTGTAATAAGAATAGGATTTTTGGTTGCAATAGATTCCTTTTTAAAAATTACTGGTGCAAGAAAGATGAATGTTGGGAGCTACTTATTGAGGTTTTTGTTAAACCTACTATTGGAAATCCTATTTGTAATCTTTGTCATAAGCTCCGTATGCTGAAAGCTTTAATTAAGCAGAAAGATTGGGCTTCTTCTAAGCATCTTTCCTTTTTTATTGAGTTTCTTAAAAAGCAACAAACTGATATTTACAATCTCTTACAGAGAGATCCTCTTAATCAACATCTAAATTTGTCTCTTATTAATATTGATTCTCTTCTTAAAGATAACTTGTCTCTTTGGTCCTCCTGGTTTTCTCACAGGGCTAACAGAAGTGCATGTCTTGTGGTGAAGAGGATTTAGGCTTTCTTTACTCCCATATATGAAGTAGGTAGAATTCTAATAAGATTAATGGGATTTCTTATGCTAATAGGATTGTCTCATATTCTAATGAAATTGTTGGTATTTTTTAGAATCATTTTAAGAATATTTTTAATTCTACTACTCCGGCTATGGCTACTACTTTCATTTTTTCTATTGGTAATGTTATTCCGGATAGTTTACAAAATTCTTTGGTGCTCCCAATTACTGTGGAAGAAATTAAGAAACTTATTTTTAATAGTCCTAATTCTTCTACTCCTAGACCTGATGGGTATACTTTTGAATTTTTTTAAAATTTATGGGATATTGTTGGATCTGCTTTATGCAAGGTTGTTCTTTACTATTTTAACACAGGTTTCATGTCAAGTGTTTGCTAAAGCGACTGCTATTTCTCTAATTCCTAATAAAATTAGTGCTACTAGGTTTACTTATTACAGGCCTATTTCGTTATGTAATATTTTTTATAAGATTATGGGAAAAAATCTTGACTAACTATATTCAATGGGTTATGCATTTTATTATTCATAAGAGCCAATTGAGTTTTATTAAGAAGAGGATTTCTATAAATAATATCATTCTTACTGTTGAGCTACTTAGAGAATTTAATTATGCTTCTAGTAATAAATATGTTTGTGCTAAATTAGATATTCATAAGGCTTTTTATACAATCTCTCGTGAATTTCTTATTACTAGGATGGCTCAAAAAGGCTTTCCTCCTATTTTCATCTCTTGAATTAAATGTTGCATAGAGGATGTTTATTTTTATATTATTCTTAATGGATCTATACATGGGTTCTTTAATTCTTCCTTGGTACTTCGGCAAGGGTGCCATCTTTCTCCTTATCTCTTTTGTATTGTTATGGATGCACTTTCTAATATGTTGTTCTCAATCCAATAATTTTGAGGTGATTATGACTGGTTATGCATTTAATCTATACATATGGTTTACTCATTTTTGGTAAAGCTACTTTGGAGAATGCCTGAATGCTTAATAATATTATGGAATCTTTTTGTATGCTTCGAGTTTATTTATCAACACTGATAAAAGTTATCTCTCATTATTTCAAAAGACTGCCATCTTGAAGCTGCTATTAGTTTTAGTCTTGGCATTGGAATATCTTCGTATCCATTAAAATATTTGGGCATACCTCTTTATGGTAAGAAACTTAGAGTTTTTTTATTTTCAGTCGTTATTCAATAGGATTAATATTTTGTTAGCCGGTTGGAAAGCTAAATTACTTTCTTTTGCTGATAGGGTTCAGCTCTTGAATTTTACTATATCTAATGTTATTTCTTATTGGATTAGAGGTATTTCTTTCCCTAAATATTGTTTCAAATTTATTAGAAAGGTTTGCTCTAATTTTCTCTTTCATGGTGATTTCTCTAGTAGGAAGATTTATATTATTGCTTGGAATAAAGTTTGTAAGCATATAGTTAATGGTGGTCTTGGTATTTTTGATCTTGAAGCTCTGAATTTTGCCTTTAGTTGTTCTCTTATTTGGAGAATTATTAATGATAATGGGCCATTGGCAATTTGGATTAAGTATAAGTATTTATCTTTTTGGAAGTCTTGGCCGCACTCTATTTCTTTGTCTTAGAAGAATCTCTTCTATTGCAGGAGATATAAAATGTAAGATTTAGTTTAATAATTTTCCTAATAGTTCTCTCTCTCTCTCTTTATTGGGACCCTTGGTATATGGGGAAGTTTGTTCATGAGATTGTTACTTCGGATAATATTAATTTGGATTCTTCTTTTCAAAATGAGAAGTTGGGGAATTTGATTTCTTTAAATTGCTGGAATTTGCCATCTTCTTTGTCTCTGACTATCAATAGTATTTTTTCTCATGTTGTTATTAACGATCCTCAAAAGTCTCATATCTCTTGGAATGGAGTTCTTCTTCCTTCCTTTAATATGTTTCATAATGCTTATTATGATGATTTCAATAAAGTGGATTGGTTTACATTTATTTGACACAAAAGATATGCTTTGAGATACTCTTGCTATGCTTGGATGGCCA